GTTTTGGCGTATCTATAATTAAAATACGAGATCCTATTTTGCATATTTTTGCATATTTAACAGGCATTCTACAGGCATTAGATGGGTGTGGAAAAGACATTCTGTTTAGAATAATAGGAAAAGCATACAAGACCGGCATCATTCCGAAAGATTTCGAGAAATGCATTATAAATCCTATTCCCAAGAAAAAGAAATCAGAGAGATGTGAAGAGTACAGAACAATTAGCCTCATAACACATGCTTCTAGGATTCTCACAAAAATAATGCACAAAAAATAGAGTCGAAGATTAATGAAAATTTAGCTGAAGACCTATTTGGTTTCAGGAAAAATAGAGGCACTAGAGAGGCGATAATATGCTTAAGAATAATCATAGAGAAAATGTTTAATATTAACAAACCACTGTTTATTGCCTTCTTAGATTTGGAGAAGGCATTCGATAATGTTAAATGGACAAAACTATTTAAGATTATGGAAGACATTGGAATAGACTATAACGATAGAAAAATTATACATAATCTGTACATCAATAAAATCGCAGTTATAAAAGCCGAAAAAGATAACAACCAGGTGGAGGCTAAAATTGCCAAGGGGGTAAGACAAGAGTGCAATCTATCACCTACCTTATTTAATATATACATAGAAGAAGCCTTAAAAGAAGTAAGAAAATAAAATATTGGAGGAGTAAATATAGGAGGAATACTTGTGTAAATGTTGCGTTTTGCGGACGATATAGCTGTAATCGGAGAAAATGAAGAAGACATAACCAACATGCTCGAAAAAATTAACGACACGCTTAAAGAACACTACATGAAAATAAACCAACGGAAAACCAAGATGAAACTAAAATAACTTTTGGACTGATCGGAGCGGTTTTTCAATGTAAATTGTAGAATAATAATTTTCCTAAAAGCAGTTTAAATGAAAAACCAAATGAAAAAAACGCAAAAATTTAAGTATATTCGGGCCGGATTTGAACCAGCGACCTATGGATATCTGTGTTTTATAACCAGATTTTATATTCTACAGTCTACCGCTCTACTAACTGAGCTACCGAAGGCCATGTGTATGGAAACAATTTCAGACTATTTAAGTGCACGCATTGTTACGATACAATAATATCGACATCCAACGGTTAGTCACACGCCATCTAGCGACAACTTTGTTTTAACGCTACAGTTTTTTCTATTCGAAAAAAGATGGCATCCCGTATACCGTTTTATAATAGTATATTATCGGCGAAAGAAACCAACTGATATTTAATTTTTGAGAAAAAAATGTAATAACCAAAACTCAGCTTATGGCTACAACTGGGTGTGCACTTGAAGAATAACAACTTTTCAGAAAAAATGTTAAAACGCTATTCATTAAGAACGTAGACCGGTATCTTGATTTCATTTTTTTTTTTTTCAATAATATTCTCCACTAATTATTTTAAAACCAAAGGAGATTAGTTTGAAATCTTAATCAAAATTTAATAATCATATTTCATTTATATACAAAAACTATATAACTGAAGAATTCCTCGATACTTCATTCAAAATATCCAATGTTTTTGTTTTCCGAATTAGTGATCATGTTGTTTTATTAAATAATATGTATGCTAAACTTCACAATGAGGAAACCGATTTCAATGCAAGAGGAAGTTGATGGAACCTATGGTTCATTGACGGCTTGGGGCTCATGATAAATCAGATAAATCTATTATGAAAGTTTACTTATTTTTCTCTCCCCAAATGTATTCCAATAAGAAAGGCCGTCCAAAAATGAGGAAAATGCCGAATACCGCTATACATTAGATGTCGGCACAGACTATCCTAGCAATCTTCATAAAACTCATAAAGAATTTCCTTTTTCTTCTCATAATGCATGTACACCAAATTCTAAAATCTTCAACATTTTCAAGTATTTCCGTTTAGCCAAACAATTTTGTTACCAATGTACATACCAAGTAAACATTAGTATTAAAACTCATAAAATTAAAATGTTTATAAATAACTCAGAAATTGTGTAAATGTTTTTGAAAATGTCACCACATCTAGAAATAGCAAATATTAAATTTCGGAGTTTTAAAAAAATATTTGAATATAATAATATATTTATTTTCTTAAAATTGTTCTTTCTTTTTACGTGTTTAATTCAGTTTCGTCATTTATTAAAAAAACTACAAGGAAATTCAAAAATAACTTTCATAATTTTCAGCAAAATTAAACATTAAACAAAAAATGTCTCTCACTGTTTTTCTATTGGTCTAATATTTTTGGTAGGAAACATTGAGGGTAAAAATTTTAAATAATGAAATCTAACGCCGTAAATTTGTAAATTTTTCATTTTTGTGTTATTCTGGTTTTCTCAATTATTATGAAAACCTCATGGAAATTAAAAATGATCTCTTTTCAATTAAAAGAACAACTGCAAAATATTACCATTTAATTAAACAAAAA